TCCTTTCCAGATCTCAGCCTCGGGTTATTCTCTGGTTCTGCTTTTGGCTCGTCTCCACCATTTCTTACATCTTTATTTCTAATAGTTTCATTCATTTCTTGAGTAGTTGTTTCCTGACTGCTCTGTAGAAATGGAAGTTTCAAGGGAAAAGAAATGTATCTAATTCATTTACGTTTGCCTCTCCAGACCCTGGAATACACAACAGTAGTTATGTCAACTATTTGTTGAGCCCTGGCCAGTGTGTTAAGTGGTTAGAACATCGGCCTATGGACCAAAAGGTTGCAGGTTTGATTCCCCATCAAGAGCACGTATCTGGGTCGCAGGTTCCATCCTTGGCCTAGGTCGGGGTGTGTGTGGGAGGCAACCAGTCCTTGTGTCTCTCTCATTGATTTCTTTCTCTGCCTCCCTCCTTCCCTCCCTTCCGCTCTCTGTAAGGATCAATGGAACAAGTATCCGCAGGTGAGGGTTAATAAAAAAAACAAATTATCTCCTGAGTGGAAGAGAGTGTGACAGACTTGAAGAAAGGAGAGACAACAGTATGGCTGTGGCGTTGTGAGGAAAGAGGAGAGTTTGGGGACGAGGCAGAGGAAGTAGACAGAAACCCCATCTTGATGTCTTTTAGACCAGTGTTTTCAAACTTCTGGTAGTGGGTCATGAAAACAATTCAGTGGGCTGCCACCAGATGTAAACAAATGAGAACAAAAATCAGGGGCCCTTGTTCTCAGTAAAACGGTTACAACATTTTCCCCGTGTGTGTGTGTGTGTGTGAGTGTGTATTATATACTATATATGTATGGATTACGTCGTGATGTAAAAGGGTTCTCCTGCTTGGGTTTGCAGTCAATAGGTGTGAAAGCCACCGCTGGGACCATGTGAAGGTTTCTGACTTTGTAGTAAAGGAACAGGACCTCGCTGGAACCATTTTTGCAGAGGAGGAGGTTCCAAGACTCCCTCCCTGTGCATCACAGACAGAGGTGTTGCGTTCAGCAGCGTGGAGCGTGGAGAACCAGCTGCGCTGGACGCTGCGGGGCAGAAGCCGCGCCTGCTCCTGCCCAGTGCCTGCCTCGGGCGGAGTGGCCTCCTGTGGAAAGCCACCGCCGTCGGTGGGCTGAAGGTCGGCCCCAGCAGGCGCTCGTTGCTCCGCCATGGCATTGGCACTGTTTTTAAGATGGAAACTTTGAGAATAACTTCCATGGTCCTGTTTACTTTGCCACTGTTTACTTTTCAAGTTTCCACTATCGACAGCACCGAGCAAAGCGTTTATAGAGCCATAAAACTTCAGAATACACATCTGTCTGGTTCACCAGGGGCTCCCTAGCCTACTGCCCAGGGTAAAGGACATTGTGGGTGTGTCTTTGTTGAATAATGAATCCATCAAAATTCTTCCCAGTTTCCGGTCACAGCAGTAATTACACCAGACAGACAGTACATCTTTCCAAGTCAGTGCGTGGTTATTGGCGGTCAGTCTGTGTCACCTTGATCCGACAAGGGGACTTGAATGCGTCGAGCATCCGTGGCTGGACAGGCCCCTCGCACAGTAACGAACTCATCAGCCCTGACTACAGCGTTTCCGCTGCTGGGAGTCACATCGATGGCAGGGTAACCAGGGTCTTCGAATGGGAAGGTCTTTCTGGTCCCATCTTCAGTGGTGTTTTCACCCAACTATGATGCTGCAGTGAAGGAATGATGGTTTGCCCTGAGGCACTGAATCCCTGAGAGTCAGCGGTGCCCTGGCACGCCCTGTAACCCCTCGGGCAGGTCAGCGGCTGGGAGGGGACCTGTACCTCAGGGGATACTACCGCTGCAGCCACCGAAGGCCCCGTGCTTGGACCAGGCGCTGGACGTGGCCAATTCTGTGCTTCAAGGGATTCATATTAAGAACTTACTTCACTGCCCAGCCGGTGTGGCTCAGTGGTTGAGCATCGACCCATGCACCTAGGGGTCACTGGTTCGATTCCTGATCAGGGCACACACCCAGGTTGTGGGCCGGATCCCCCGAGCAGGGCATGCAGGAGGCGGCCAATCGATGTCCTCTCTCATTAATGTTTCTCTCTCTCTCTAAAAAATATCAATAAAAAAAAAAGAAAACAAAAACATACTTCACTTCTGAGGGTAAATACAAGGGATAGGAAGGTAGGAGTGAGAAGGAAGGCAGTTTCATACTGCATCGCCCGTAAGAATACATTGCAGTAGCAGCTCCTGAAGAAGCCCTCTCCTGACTTGGGGATTGATGAGGGCATCATCTGCGCACACACAATAGCCATCCTGGAAGACAAGCCCTTGCTGATACTGTGAATAAGATGTAATAAAAATATCTCAGAAAATTCCGACAACGAAAGGTGCTCATTGTTCGCATCATGTCATCTGATGTAGATAAATATTTATTGTATTACAAATATAAGTACCAGAGTCACAAATCATCCCCTTGTAGTTTTGCCTGCATCTTCTTATACTATCTTTCTTTGAATATGGAATGCAGTTAGTTGCTAGAGTCCTTAGATCCCAATCAAAAGCACAGTACAGTATGGTGGCAAATAAACAGCCATGATAGTAATATGTTTGTGTGGCGTTTGTAACATGAGGATAATTAGGGGAAAATAGTAAGACTGGAAAGAGCAACTCGTTCCAGTATTGAGTACAGAGTGAGCTGACAACAGAAAAGATATATAGAGATGAGGGTAACACAGTTTATGGATGGAGAGAAAATGAACCTCCTTTTACTTGGTTAAAATGCTTTAGTGTAACTAGGCTTAAAAATTGTTCGTTTGGCTTGATATCCATTCATTCAACAAATATGTATTAATTGACCACATGTGCCTACATAGGGGCTGAGAGCATTACAAGGAATAAAACACAAAAATAAATCTGCCTTCGTGGAGTTTATGTTCTAATTATGGGGGAGGAGGGACAGAAAAACCAGCAGTGAAAACTGTTGCAGACGTTGATAGCAGCACACAGGAAAGCAAGGTTCCGACCACTGAAAAGAATGTGGCCCGGGAAGACTTCACTGGGAAGATGATCCCGTCAAACTAGCATCAATGTGCTAACAAGGACATTAGTGGTTGGCTAATGTTACCAGCAATTTTTTTATTAGGTGTAACATGAGCAAATTCAAGACAAAGATTATGGCAATGTATTATGATAAAGTCACAAGGATGGCTTGGCCTCACCGGGGTTTAAAATGCTGCCTATATTTTCATCCTGATGAAGATGCACTATGAGAGGATAAAAATATTCAAACTGTAGAAACTTAAGAAGTGATTCAAGTCAATACATGTTTTATTTTAAAAATAGTCCTCCCCCACCCCCCCAGTAAAACTAGTGTTTCTTGATGAGGCAGAATGAAGAGGGGGGATTCTCATTCATATAATTTTTAGGTATGGGTGATTTTTACCTTTCTTAGACTATAGCTTCCTATTTTTCACATTAAAATGATAAAGCAGCCTGGGTGAAAATATTTGCAAAAGACACACCTGGTAAAGGATTACTCAAACTATACAAAAACTCTTAAAACTCAACAAGAACAAAACAAACAACCTGACTTAAAAAATGGAACAAAGACTTGAACAGACACCTCACCAAGGAAGATAGTAAAGATGGTAAGTGAGCCTATAAAAGATGCTCCGCATCACCAGTCCTCCGGGAACGGGAAGTAATATAACGAGACACCCCACACACCTATCGAAATGGCCCAAATCCCGAACGCAGATGACATCCAGTGCTGGCGAGGACGTGGAGCAGCTGAGCCCTGTCACTGCTGGTGGCAATGCAAAACGGTGCAGCCACTTTGGAAGACAGATTGGCAGGCTTTTTGTTTTTTTTTGTGTGTGTTTTTTTTACAGCCATCATGCTCCTTGATATTTACCAAAGCAGTTGAAAACTATCTCCACAAAAAATCTTGCACACGGATGTTAATGGCAGCTTTATTCACAAGTGGTGAAATTTTGTAGCAACCAAGATGTCCTTCAGTAGGTGAATGGATAAACTGTGCTACGTCTAGAAATGGAATTAAGTTAAAAAGAAATGAGTTATCAAGCCATAAAAAGACATGGAGAAAACTTAAAATGCATGTTACGAAGTGAAGGAGATAATCCTGAAACGCTACATATATACTGCACAATCCCAATTTGACGACATTTTCGAAAAAAATGAAACTGTGGTCACAGTAGAAAGGTGGGTGGTTGCCAGAGACTGGGGGGCACGGAAGGGTGAGTACGAAGAGCACATGGGTTTTAGGGCAGTGCAGATACTTGTATGATACTAAAATAACAGACACCTGCCATTATGCATTTGTCCAAACCCATAGAATGTACACCACCAAGGGAACCCCAGGGTAAATTACGAACTTTGGGTGATTATGCGTCAATGTAGGTTCATCATTTGTGACAAATGCACTACTCTGGCGAGTGATGTTGATCATGGGAGAGGGTAATAATAGAAGAAAAAGTATAGAGAGTTTCCTTTTTTCATTACAGTATTTCTTACTTAACTGCTTCCAAATTCAATTGGTTCCTTAGAGTGAACAAACATTTCTTTTTAGAATGTCAGCACTAAAGTTGAAATTCAACATGAATAGATTTTCAAATTCCCAACATATAGCTATGGTGAAAAGTATTTCTTTCTTATTGTGAATTTGTGTAATACTGACCCAGCTGAGGACACAGACAATGGCATGTGGCTTTTTAGTCATAAACAGTACAGAAAATAATTTGCATTTTCCGTAATTTCTACGAATTTCTCATAAAACACTTGGCAAATGCAAAAAAAATCCTGGAGTTTCTTAATAATTACTCACAGAATAAATCTGAACAAATAAATACAGAAATCAAACAGTACTATCAAAATATGTTTGTCCTTTCCCTACGTCCTATGTGTCAACCTACTCAGTCTATCTGGTCCCCTTGGGCAGCCTTTTATGTCCCAAGGTTCATACCCATCATCATTTCAAATCTTGGAACTCCATCCAAGAGGAAGCTTAACAATGATTGTTTATTTTGTAGGTTTTAACGAAGCTAGCGTACCAGCGAAGACCTTTGAAGTGTGAAGAGATTTCCTGTAATTGAGACCAAAATGTCACTGATAGATCCTTATCAGCACATTATAGTAAGTCATTTACTGTTTATATACTTTTTCTGGGAGGAAGGCCGGTATACTTCTGTACATGAGTATTGCTGGTGTTGCTTGTAAAAATAAAACTCTATGACAAACCCTGGATTTTAAAAAAATGAAACTCATATGCCTAGCCGGTGTGGTTCACTGGTTGAGCGTCAACCCATGCACCAAGAGGTTGCCAGTTTGATTCCCGGTCAGGGCACATGCCCAGGTTGTGGGCCAAATCCCCAGTGGGTGGCATGCAGGAGGCGGCCAATCGATGTTCTCTCTCATTGCTATTTTTATCTCTCTCTCCCTCTTTCTTCCTCTATCTCTCTCTAAAAATCAATAAAGAAAAAAAAAAGATACTCATATGAACTTAATATGGTACAAACAGTCTACAACACGTAATAAAACTAATCCACTTCTTCTTTTTATCACTGCAAATGTGCAGGAAAAGAGGCATTCAGAGAGAAAAACAAAACAAAACAAAACATCTGTAACAGTATTGAACTTTGATGGAACAATAAAAAACGTAGTTATCACCTAGCAATTTCCAGCTGTGTATGTTATATGCCTCACATGAGTGGGTGGAGAGAAGAGGAAAGAACTGTTGAGTTGCAGGTTATATTTTGGTGTGCATTTCCAGGGCACTTCATTCTGTAAACTTTCCCTTAGATGTAGTTAAACAAACTTTTCTGTGGATGGTTAATTTTTGTCAAAGAGTTGAGTGATTCAGATTTTAGGATGTAATTTTCCAAACTCCACTGGAAGTGTACATTTTCTATTCTGATTTTTTTAAAAAAAAAAGAAGAGGAGAAATTTCTTTGCTGAATTTAACACTAGAGATCTGTTTAGGTTTCTAGGGACTAGAAATACTTTTTATGGATATTAAGGAATAACCCATAGTCTCATTTTTCTTAAAAAGTGTTTTTTTCTTCATTGATTTTAGAGAGGAAGGGAGAGGGAGAGCGAGACAGAAACATCAATGAAAAAGAACATTGATTGGCCACCTCCTGCATGCTTCCCACTGGGGACTTGACCCATAACCTGGGCGTGTGCCCTGACCTGGAATCCAACTGGTGACCTCTTGGTACATGGGTCAACACTCAACCACTGAGCCACACCAGCCAGTCTCATTTTTCTTAAAATGAAACACTGTTTTTTAATCCCACACCCCTCTCTGGCTGCCATCCTATTTCCTTCCTTGCTTGGATGGCAAGGGTTGATGTTTTAGGGTTCTTATAGTGCCTCCTTCCCCTCCGTTCACAGCCTGACTCACTGAAAATGAGTCTCAGCTCTTCCCCTTTACAACAGGGTCTCCTTGAGGCCTCTTTGGTGGAGAATCCAATGGACTCTAGTTCCCCCACCCCACCAGCACCCCTACCTCTGTTGCTCTTTCAGCTCTTGTTGAAAGTCTTCCCAATTTTTTCTGGTTCTGTTTCAGATTTCTCTAGTTTAGTGTCTTGTTTTCTTGCTGTTGATTCTTAGTTCTCTTTGAAAGCTTCTCTTTCTATTTGACTTTAATATTGAACTATAACATTCCACACATGAAACCATCATCCAGATAAAAATGCACAACATTATAACTACCCCCGAAGAGTTGCTCATGTCCCTTCCAGTCAATAAACTCCATAAAGGTAACCAGTATTTGACTTCTATAATTATAGATAAGTTTTACCTCTTCTTTACCTTCATATAAATGTTTGCATTCAACGTTATGTCTGTGAGATTAATTCATGTTGTTGTGAATAGCAGAAATTTACCCTTTTACATGACCATGTAATAGTATTTTATTATCTGAATATACTACAAACTATTTATCTCACCCAGTGATAACTGTCGACTTCTCACGGAGTGGCAAGGGTGGCTTTGTTGTAAATCAGGCAGCAATGACTTGATTTCTATTCTGTTTTGTTAGTTATTTAGTCTGTGTTTGCCGAGTATCAATCTATCTTAATTTCTCTAGCTTTGAAATGTGTCTTTATACATGTTAATGTAAACCCTCCACCTTTTTCTTCTTTAAGATTGTCATAGCTATTTTCAGTCTTCTGCATTTTCATATACATTTTGGAATCAATTTATCAGTTTACACACACACACACACACACCACCACACACACACAACTGCTGAGATTTTTATTGGTACTGTCATAAATCTACAGATCAGTTACAGGAGAGATGTCAAGATAACAATATTGAATCTTCCAATGCATTAGCAACCCAATAATCTAATCCAAAAGTAATGCTATTTAGATCATCTTTAATTCTCTCAGTAGTGTATTGTAGTTTTCAGTGAGAAATCTTTTGTATCATTTTTAGATGTGTTTCTTGATAGATGTTTTATTTAGTGTCACTGTAAAGGTAATTATTAACTTTCTAATTAGTTGTTGTATTTATATGGAAATATACATTTTTTTGATCCAGTGAACTTATTAAATTTTTTTGTAATTCAAGTTGTTTGTGGATATTTTTGAGTTTTCATTTTGCATATTTCTGTTATCTGTAAATAATATCAGTCTTACTTCTTTCTTTTAAAAAAATCCTCACCCAAGGATATGCTTATTGATATTTTGAGAGAGAGAGAGAGAGAGAGAGAGAGAAACATTGATGTGAGAGATAATATTGATTGGTTGCTTTCTGTATGTGCCGAGAGAGAGAGAGAGAGAGAGAGAGAGAGAGAGAGAGAGAGAGAAACATTGATGTGAGAGATAATATTGATTGGTTGCTTTCTGTATGTGCCCCGATCGGGGTGTGAACCCGCCACATTTCATTGTACGGGATGACACTCTAACCACCTGAGCCACACTAGCTAGGGCACATCTGAAATCTTTACCTTTCTAGCTCAACTGATTATTGACCACCTACTTGAGGTATAGCCCATAAGTTTTGAAATGTCATATTTTCATAATTGTTCAATTAAAAATATTTCTAACATTTATTGTGATTTATTTGACAAATGGGTTACTTAGACTTGTATTTTAATTTTCAAACATTTGCTAATTTTTTTAGTTCTCTGTTGTTTATTTTTAATCTAATTCCACTGTGTTCAGAGAAATACTCTGGTTAATTTTTTGTTTGTAATAGGTTAATACATGGTTATGGTCCAGCATATTGTCTATCTCGGTACATGTTTCATATACAACAATATCGTCCATATTCAATTTTGTTCTATGAATTTTGAAGATATGTTATTAATGCATATAACCTCCGAATTGTATGTATTTCTGTTTAATTGATGTTTTATCCCTGTGATAGGTCCTTTTTGATCTCTAACAATGACTTTGTTTTAAGTTGTACTATGTCTTTTATTAATATAACCCCTTCTAATTTCTTTGATTACTATATGCATTTTTTTTACTTTCAATTTATACTTTTCCTTCTATTTAAAGTTTCAGTCTTGTGAAAAGCATATATTGAGATACAACTATTGTTTTTTTTCAACAATATCCTACTTTTCTTTCATAATTAGGGTTTTTCTATAAATGAATTTTTACAATGAAAATATGTTCTTTTCAGTTGCTTTTTCTATTAATTAAGTTACTATATCTTATGTGTAGATTAATTTTTCTCACCCCCCCTAGAGAAGTATGCAAAACACACATAATCTGTATCACATTTTCTTTACCTTTTCTAGTATTGAAGTTGGACACTCAACCAGTATTTCAGTGTATAGCCCTTTTAAATAAAGGGATCCTAAGAACTTCATTTTTCTTGTTCTTGCTGTGCATGTAGAAAAAAATCGGTGTGCTCGTGTGTGTAAATTTTTGTGTGACAACATTCCCTGTTATAGTTTTCACAGAAATATACTTTTCAAAATACACCCATGCGCACACTCAGCGCAGAAGAATTTTAGTAAAAAGGAAAAGGGAAGCCCTGGCCGGTTTGGCTCAGCGGTTGGAGCGTCGGCCTGCGGTCTGGAGAGACCCGGGTTCGGTTCCCGCTAAGGGCACGTACCTCGGTTGCAGTTTGTCCCCGGCCCTGGTTGGTCGTGTGGGTGGCGACCACTCGATGTATCCCTTTCGCATTGATGTTTCTCTCTTTCTCTCTCCCTCCCACTCTATCTGAGCAAAATATCAAAAAAAAAAAAAAATGTCCTCGGGTGAGGATAAAAAAAAAAAAAAAGGCGCCCTGGCCGGTTTGGCTCAGCGGTTAGAGCGTCAGCCTGCGGTCCGGAGAGACCCGGGTTCGGTTCCCGCTAAGGGCACGTACCTCAGTTGCAGTGTGTCCCCGGCCCTGGTTGGTTGTGCGGGTGGCAGCCACTCGATGTGTCCCTTTCACGTCGATGTTTCTCTCTCTCTCTATCCCTCCCACTCTATCTGAACAAAATATCAAAAAAATGTCCTCGGGTGAGGATACAAAAAAAAAAAAAAAAAAAAAAAAGGAAAAGGGAAAACAAAACCAGGTCATTAGTAATGAACGTACCAGATGGGCCAACAGTGTCGGCTGCCTCGAGGCACAGGCTGGACCGCTCTTCATACCCGCGATCAGTGACATGTCGGAGAACCCTGTGGGCTGATGAGCGGTCCAACCAGCAGGTTCTCTTGTCTCCGGGGGTGCAGGCCCTTCAGGATGTGGTAGGAAATGGACTGATAAATATATGACAGAATTCAGTTTCTCTACCTCTAGACTTGTCAGGTTCTTTCCAACTTGAAGAGTATCTGTGCTTCTAGAACTTACTAAAATTCTTTTGGGTCAGGGAAACATCAATTTTGCAAGGATACATCATTGTCAAATATAAAATGCTTATAAAAATTTCCATCTTTTGACTTTGAAAATATGAGTCACTTTCCTGGAGTAAAAAAAAAAAAAACCACCCAAACCCAACGCCACACCTCTTCCCACCACCTATTAGCAACAGAGGGGCCCTGCCCTGCAGTGGCAAAGGCTGTCTGCAGGGCAGGGGCAGCCAGCCACATGGCTAGACTAGCATGCCCGCCTGCTTGCATACAGGGACCTTTGGAAAATGTTGTTGTAGGATGACTGGAAACTTTACCAAAAAAGTATAAAGA